CCGTGATGGTGAGGCCTGCTGCTCGCACCTTGCGGACGCCGCGCTCGCCGATCATCTCCTCCAGGTCGTCGTTGCTCATGGCGATGGGGACGTCCTGCAGGCGAGGGCGGTCGTTTTCCCTCTCCTTCCTCTTCGGTCGCTGCAGCCGACCGAGTGCCCGGTCCTTGTCCACCGGCCACAGGCCCGCCCCGGCGAAGGACGCTTTGTTGATTTCTGGCGTGAAGCTACTGCTCCACGCTGAACCGATCAAGCCGGCCATGTCTCGCTTCCGCGGCAATGCCCCTCCGTTTTTCGACGGGAAGGACGCGATGGCNATCCTTTCTCTTCGGTCGCTGCAGCCGACCGAGTGCCCGGTCCTTGTCCACCGGCCACAGGCCCGCCCCGGCGAAGGACGCTTTGTTGATTTCTGGCGTGAAGCTCGTGCTCCACGCTGAACCGATCAAGCCGGCCATGTCCCGCTTCCGCGGCAATGCCCCTCCGTTTTTCGACGGGAAGGACGCGATGGCTGTGTTGAGTTCCTTCTTGAAACAGCCGAAGCCAGCGATATCCAAGGGCTGGATGACGTGGGACATGTGGGAGGGCAGCTGGACGAGGTGGATGTTGAGAGACTTGGCCAACTGGATGACTTCAAAGCTCACGTGCGACGCGTGCCCATCCAGCACGAGCACGTGGGGTTTCCCGTCGAGCAAGTTCCGCCGGCGGAGCTGCTCGTGGAAGTTCTTGATGTACTTGATGAAGACGTCACCACACATGAAGGACGATTCCGTGCAGGTGTACGTTGCACCCGGCGGGCCGTTCCTGTCCGCGATCCAATCTTGGTTGAAACGCACCCCTTTGAAGATGACGGTAGGGTCCAACACGGCGCCGGCGGCGTTGATAGTGGTGACGATCGTGCAGTTTTCTCGCGAGTTGGCGCGCATCTGGGGCACCACTGGCTGCCCCTGTTCCGAGAAGACCCGCTGTGTCTGCGTACCTTGAATGGTTCCACCTAGTACGATAATTTGTGGCGAAAAGCACGCGTGGGGGGGTCGAAGCGGAGGACAGTAAGTACAGGCTGAGCAGCGCTCACACGCACCCACCAACGCCCAGCAAACCACAGGGAGAGGGGGGGGG